GTGGCTAGTACCTCAGCAAGGAGAATGTGTGTACTCCAGGCTTGGGCCTGTGAACCCCCATTCACTGATTTTCAACAGGATATGGTTGTCTTGCATTTAGCACCAGGGATTTGGTGAAAGTGAAAGCTTATCAATGCCATTCTCTTCCTGTACTAAAGGGTTTCGGGGCACTCTCCTCTCTTACAGTTGCAGCATTGTGGGCTTCCATGGCAATTGTCTCTCCTGAAACTTTTGTAAAGTTGGCATTTGGACCTCTTTGAACTCATTTGTCCTGCATTACATACTGGACGTTAAAGCTATCAATGAGGTGCAATTTGGATGTCTAGTCCTTTGCTCAGTTCAATCTTCTAATCTATGTTGAATTTTTCTGATTATTTGATTGGCAGTTATTTATGTTTCTGTCCCTCCCTGGTAAGCTTGGGTATTCCCATATGTATATGCTGTCATGATTAGCCAGAAAAGAGGAAAATGTATTCATACTTTCCATAATTTTCTTTTCCTGGCTATTGTTCATGACAGCATATACTACCCACCCAGTGTTGGTTTTGCTTTTTCTGTAGGAGCTTGTTATTGACTAAGGGGCCTATGCAGGGATACTCATTTTAAAGGAATTTGTTTTAATCCTGTCCTATCGGCTGTAAAGGGAGGAGCTAACCCATATATATGCTGCCATGATTAGCCAGGGAATATATATATATATTTATATATATATATATATATATATATATATATGTATATACAGGGAGTGCAGAATTATTAGGCAAATGAGTATTTTGACCACATCATCCTCTTTATGCATGTTGTCTTACTCCAAGCTGTATAGGCTCGAAAGCCTACTACCAATTAAGCATATTAGGTGATGTGCATCTCTGTAATGAGAAGGGGTGTGGTCTAATGACATCAACACCCTATATCAGGTGTGCATAATTATTAGGCAACTTCCTTTCCTTTGGCAAAATGGGTCAAAAGAAGGACTTGACAGGCTCAGAAAAGTCAAAAATAGTGAGATATCTTGCAGAGGGATGCAGCACTCTTAAAATTGCAAAGCTTCTGAAGCGTGATCATCGAACAATCAAGCGTTTCATTCAAAATAGTCAACAGGGTCGCAAGAAGCGTGTGGAAAAACCAAGGCGCAAAATAACTGCCCATGAACTGAGAAAAGTCAAGCGTGCAGCTGCCACGATGCCACTTGCCACCAGTTTGGCCATATTTCAGAGCTGCAACATCACTGGAGTGCCCAAAAGCACAAGGTGTGCAATACTCAGAGACATGGCCAAGGTAAGAAAGGCTGAAAGACGACCACCACTGAACAAGACACACAAGCTGAAACGTCAAGACTGGGCCAAGAAATATCTCAAGACTGATTTTTCTAAGGTTTTATGGACTGATGAAATGAGTGTGAGTCTTGATGGGCCAGATGGATGGGCCCGTGGCTGGATTGGTAAAGGGCAGAGAGCTCCAGTCCGACTCAGACGCCAGCAAGGTGGAGGTGGAGTACTGGTTTGGGCTGGTATCATCAAAGATGAGCTTGTGGGGCCTTTTCGGGTTGAGGATGGAGTCAAGCTCAACTCCCAGTCCTACTGCCAGTTCCTGGAAGACACCTTCTTCAAGCAGTGGTACAGGAAGAAGTCTGCATCCTTCAAGAAAAACATGATTTTCATGCAGGACAATGCTCCATCACACGCGTCCAAGTACTCCACAGCGTGGCTGGCAAGAAAGGGTATAAAAGAAGAAAATCTAATGACATGGCCTCCTTGTTCACCTGATCTGAACCCCATTGAGAACCTGTGGTCCATCATCAAATGTGAGATTTACAAGGAGGGAAAACAGTACACCTCTCTGAACAGTGTCTGGGAGGCTGTGGTTGCTGCTGCACGCAATGTTGATAGTGAACAGATCAAAACACTGACAGAATCCATGGATGGCAGGCTTTTGAGTGTCCTTGCAAAGAAAGGTGGCTATATTGGTCACTGATTTGTTTTGTTTTGTTTTTGAATGTCAGAAATGTATATTTGTGAATGTTGAGATGTTATATTGGTTTCACTGGTAATAATAAATAATTGAAATGGGTATATATTTGTTTTTTGTTAAGTTGCCTAATAATTATGCACAGTAATAGTCACCTGCACACACAGATATCCCCCTAACATAGCTATAACTAAAAACAAACTAAAAACTACTTCCAAAAATATTCAGCTTTGATATTAATGAGTTTTTTGGGTTCATTGAGAACATGGTTGTTGTTCAATAATAAAATTAATCCTCAAAAATACAACTTGCCTAATAATTCTGCACTCCCTGTATATATATATACATATATACATATATGTATATATATATATTCACTCCTTTTAAAGGAATTTGTTTTATTACCGTCCTATCGGCTGTAAGGGGAGGATCTAACCCATATGTATATGCTGCCATGAATAATAGCCATGAAAAGAAAATTACAGTAAGTAGAAATACATTTTCCTCTATATACACATATGAAAGAGAATGTATCCATTTACAGTCATACTTAGAGTTTTATTTTGCTATTATTTTAGTAAATTGAAAACATTTATTCAATCTGGTTACTCAACCGTACCCTTATGTGCGTTAAATTTAAATAAGGCACAACAAAGATGGAGAAGAATAACAAGGAAATTAGTACAGTTGGACGGTAATGGCCAATTAAAAAGAGAAAAGCACAATCATGGATGCTTTCATAGATAATACATAATAATGCATGGATAAATGTAGTATCAAACCAAAATAGAAAATAAAAACATTTTATTGATAAACAAATACATTAATGATGCCTAATTTTCTCATATGTGCATATCTAAATATCATTAGTGGCAGAAGGGTGGAAAAACAAAATTTCTCTTTAGATGTTGTCTTCGAAGCAAATGTTCTGAAAAAAAGTCTTATTTTGTTCTAAAGTTGACATTTTCCCTGTAATACTTGATAAATAAGGAAGTTGTTAAGAAGCACGAAAGAAAGAAAGAAAGAAAGAAAGAAATAAGGAAAATCAGTGTTTGACTTCATATAGCTTTTTAGTCTATAATATGTTTTTATATTTGTATATGCTTGTCTCTCGGTAAGCCAAATAGTTGTTTTAATTACAGGAAATTATTTGATTAAACTTAATAAATAATATGGGCTTCCCTATTTTCTTTAACACTAGACATCTATTAGGCACTTTCATTTAAAAGTCAGCAATTTATATCTAATAAAAGTATTTCTCATTTTATTTTTTGCCTACATGCAGCATATAATGTCTTCAAAAACACTTCAAGAAATACCTGATATGTTTAACATAATTATCCAAACATAAACCTTTGCTATTCTTCTTCCCTGAGGAAATAATGGTAGTATTGGGAACTAAGTAGTGTATCGTAAATAAATCTCGTAGAGCTATGCCTTAGGTTTCTGTTTACATTAAGATAAATGTATGGTGCACTCAAAAAGAATTATATCTACTTTTTATACAGTTTAGAGTTCAATTAAATCTATGTCTGAGGCTTTGTGTTATACAGCCATAAATGTTCACATTGTAAACCTGAAAATTATATTATCATTTCAGATATATGATTTTTTAATGTGTTAAATTTAATCTGCAAAGTTAATAAAACCATAAAAGACCCAAAGATATAAACTATTATGTTTTGCAAGTCATCTCCTTTTCTTGATGTCACTGGGTCAGCCACTTGTCTGTGTTTATTGTTCCCTGAATACCCATAAAAGTGATACATTATAATAAAGAACAAAGGTTATTTTGGAGTTAATGTCCCTTTAATTAGCATACTAGAAAGATTTGCTTCAAATCTGCAGAGAAGGGAAATAGAATGAATAACACAATCTTCTAAATCACTGAAAAGGTAATAAAGGAAAACATACACATCTGTGAAGTCAAATCTCTATTTAGATTGAAATTTACAGTTGCCTTTCCTGATTTACGTTTTTATAAGCATAGCTTTCCAACATACAAAAAAATTAATTATATACTCACTAATACCCATCTTTCCCTGTGACTTGCTAGTAGCTCCTTGTTGTTGATGTCAGCTCCTGGTATTGCACTTAAGACCAGGAAAAACAACTGACCATTAAGTGGAAAAAAAATAAATTATTGCACAAGTATTTTATGCTACATTTTGAGAAGACTCTCTGGTTTTCCTAGCACATGAGAGGTTTTGTGGCAGTCTTTAGGAGCTAAATAACAGATTTTGAATATGAGAGTAGAATAGTATAAGTACAGTAATCTCTCATGTTTGTTGTGATGTGGTCTGATTTGATACAGAAAAATGGCAAGAGGAGTATTAGAGGTAACTCCTACCAATCTCAAATCGGTTGATTTTGAACAAGGAAAGCAGAAAAGGAGACTACTTTTTTTATATTTTTCACCATATATATATATATATATATATATATATATATATATATATATATTTATTTATTTATTTTTTAATGAACTGGTTGAGTTTGAATTGTGGACATTCTTCCCAGCTCACACATGAACACCACTGGCTCACTAGAGTTTAAATTCAGAAGACTTCTGACTGATTAGAGAGAGGGGTGGAAAAAGACAATGCATTCTGAAAATAACTCCTCCTCAGGTTATTTGTGTTCTAATATAAAAGAAGTTTGTAGTACATATATGTCTTCCAATTTAACAAAGAGCTTGTTTTTTTTCATAAATATTCAATAAATGTGTAATAAAAAGTGAAAAACAATATTTTTTTTAATGAGACAGCAATGTCACCAGGTAAAGATCTAGAACACTTCAATGGCATTATTTTCACATAACACTTAGTTTATTCAATGATTCTAGGTTTTGTATTTGAGAGGCATCCGCAATCCAGTTCCTTTCTTTACGACATGCTAAGTGGGGGATATTAATTATAGAGGTGCAATAAGTAGCTGATGGCCAGGATAATACAGCTATATGTGATATAATGTACAGATGGACCAAAAAGTGAAATGCAGCAGGATTGGGGGGCAGTGACAGCAGAGGTGGGCTTATGGAGCAGAAGCATTTACGACAATTGAATACTGATATATCATAAAACAATCAGCATAACCAGCTGGTAACGGTGTGGGTGCCCAGAGTGTCTTTTTTAACAGCTGGATTTGACAATGTTGTTCTTAAGTATCAAATCAGCATTAAGAGAGGGCTCTCAGTCTCAGAAGATTTCATACTGACATTTTTGCAATACTGGCAAGCTTGAAGTTACCAATGTGAATTAATTTGAAAAAGCTCTTTTATGAAGCTACATTGATCAGATTGCAATTTATGTGGCCCCAGAATTAGGCCAAAATAAGATGTAATGCTTTAGCAGAATCATTCATTTTTATACTATATGGAGACCATTTAAATTACGTCCCCCTGAGAGTTTAAAGTTTCCGCTGAACTTGGCAGCACTTGATAAACTGTAGGGTTTACTCAAAACTAAATTGTAATTGAAAACAAATTGTGGCTATAGTCTTATAGGTCATCACTTTTATCTACAGTCGAATTTTCAATTCATTACAATTCAGCGTTTAGTCAATAAACATTTTAGTATCAATTACCTCCTTCACTACCAAGCATTTTTTGATTGAAAATTTTTAGCATAAGGTGTATTCGAAGCAATGGATGCATAGCTAGCATTTAAACATATCAAAGCACATTAATTTTGTGTATAGATTGCAGACAAACTTAAAAGAAATGAATTATGTCAGTTTACACAATTTTTATTGTGTTGATCCTATACAAAAATATTTTGTAAATGAAAAGCTTTAGATAGTATACAGCTTCATTTATTTTGAAAAAAAAATGTATACAGGGTCTGAGATGTAAGTATAAAAGCAGTAATGCAATTTTTTTCGCATGTAGTAGGTGTGACAAAAATATATCAATAACATTGGTCAAATACCAGGGGCTAGCATGATTTTTGTTATATGAAGTTTCATACACTGTTATGTGATGGTAGCCACACGGCAAACTCAAGATGTTATCTCTTTCTGTTATTTAAATTGCATATGTTGCAACATTATATGTAGAGTCAAATGACTTTCCAAAATAAAGAATTTAAAAAAATGATCATTATATATATAGTCATGTGACTTTCCAAAATAGACATATACCTTGCCTATAGGTATATGTAAGGATCGTGAAGTTATTACTAATGGTTCAGTTTACTGAAAATTATAACAGGATGTTAAAAGAATGTCTACATTTGAACATAATGCCGACGTGCAGTAAATGCAGTTAAATCATATATATGTAAAGTAAAGGTATATAAAGATTGCTATAGCTTAATCTAATGCTAACAGTGAAATATTACAGTCCATTCACTTCTCCCCCACCCGTACTGTAGAAATGATATGACTAATTAAAACTTCATTTACTGTTTGAAGGCAGGTGGTGAGCTTACATGTTCAGCAAATGTAAAGTTATTATATCAGTGTCTAGTGACTTATGGCAAAGAATTGTGTTCCTCTACAGGCTGGTAATCATAATAAAAGTATAAATAAAGTTGAGTAAGGCTTTATGAACTAGATTTCATACTGTTAAATACATAAAAATAAAAATGTTGGGGGGCGGGGTCGAACCGCCGAGCCGAACGGTTGCACACCAGAACAGCTCCTGCAGTCTCTACTAGTTTTAGCCCTACAAATGCCAAAAAACAGCACTTACTTGATGACTGGCAGCTGTGACCGAGCACAAGAAGACACCATGGTCCCAAGGAGAGGCTTGCTGCACAATTTTAGTCCCTCGGAGGGGTGCTCACCGTCACCCAAGATGGAGAGCGCTCGGGCGGTGAGCGGGACGGACGGCCACTGCCCTGCTATCCTGCCTACCAGCTGTCAACCAGAGGCACAAAGTTAGGTGGATGTGGCCCGTTATCCCCCCCTCTGGGCCGGTGGGAGTGATCCTAGTCCCCACCGCGTGGCCCTCTGTGAGTGCGAGACCACCAGCATTCCATTCCACAGCAGTGTTCAACTAGAACACAGAGGCCGCACACAAGATGGAAGAGACTGCGTGCAGAGCCACTTATACTAGAGGGAAGCTCCCCCACTCACTTGACTCCGCACCAGCAAAATACCAGCACAAACTAAACATGAATTGGCGGTTACCTGCTACGACCATACAAAGAGCACGAAGCTCGGTCCTATAACGAGCCAAAACTGGCAGAGCAGCCAAAGACACAGCATACCAACTTAAGTGCAGGGGCCTGCTAACACAAAACACTGTACTAGCATGCTTCAATCTACAGCCCTCAGCCAGGAACACTGTACCAACGTGCTGGCCTCATCTGCCGTACGTCCCAAACCGAAGCGTAATGGGCGAAAAAAACGGAGCAGACAGCCTGTGTCAGCGGAGATAAAACAAGGGATTACCACGTCTACTACGATCCGCATCCTGCATGCGACGGTTAACTGGAAAAGACACAAGTCCACTACAGGGGGTCTACCACTTGGACACTCACCTGGCATGAAATCACTATGGAGAATATCAGGCTGTAATCCCTCCTTGATCCATCAGTGAGAGGGGTCACACGGTACGTGGGCACTGACTGTCATCTTGCGGGCATGGGGGCGGCCAGGGGGGGTAGAAAAGATTACAGAATAATCTATTTTATCAGAAGTTCTCACATAATCTTGTTATCAAGCTACCTAATTACCAAGCTAAGTGAAATGATGGTCTACTCGGGAACAAGAATTTACCTTAACACCCATTAAGCGTCTGCTACACTGTTATATAGCATAACCTGTAGATAAGCCTGATTAATCTTTTATATGCACGTTTAGATTTGCACCACACTGTTGTCTACTCTTATATAATATAAAAAATGTGCACAGTCTATCCATGCCATATGATTGTTTATCTATGCTTATGAAAACTCTGGCATTTGCTCTTGTGGCATTGCTAGCATAGAATGTACCTTGCCTAATCAATGCACAGCAAAATAAAGAATTTAAAAAAAAATGTTTATACTCTGTTGGATTTTTGAAAGGGTTAAGGTAATTTAGAAATACAGAGTGTACTTACACATCAGTTTATAGACCCATATACAATAAGCAAGATTATGAAGTTAGTAGATATCGTGATATTACTGTTAATATTTTAAAAACATTAATATTATAAAAATTAATTGCTCTTATACCGAACATATACACATTTTATCCAGCAGTATTATTTTGAAACAACTCTAGCAGACAGGAGCACTTAAAACTGTACATAAAAAGGTTTACGATGTAGCATTTAAAAATATTCTAATGACTTTGTTTTAAGTTAGGTCAAATGCAATATGTATATGGTTGTTTTGTGCTGTTTAAATAAATGGGTTTTACAGTATATCAAACCATGTATAACTGGACCAATGTTCCAAAACATTGAGAGATAGATCATGCTTTGAATTTTAAAACCAGGTAATTTCTATTTCACTTATTCTTTAAGAAATTAAGTTAGCAAGCCTTAACACATATTCCCCTTGCAATACTCTTTTTTTTTTTCAGAAATATATTTAAATGACATTTGATGGACCTTTTTCCTTCCACAAAACTGCCACCATATGCACATTACAACAAATATAAAATTTACTAAGAGACACTTAAACTCAGGGTATAAATTTATTTGTCTTACTTCTCAGTTTTTACTCTCCTATTCAAAATGTTTCCACCCTCTTTGTATATTAATTGGAAAAATTAACTTGTTTGAACAAAATAATTTTATTCTTCTATAACATTTTCTGTCAAATTTCTTTTGACTACAGTTTTTTTGACTATGGAATCTTTCATCTACAGAATTTTCAGAGAATTTTTCATAGGTTTCCAAATTATCACTGTTTCTGCAATTCTGCAGTTTGGTTTTTAGCTCACTACAATTTAATTTAGTGAATAAATAACTCAGTATTGAATTAAGGGGAAAAAAACAACTAGAGGTAATTTAAAATATATAAAGCAGCTTACATTAGACCAATCTCCCTTTCCAATTGCCAACATTTTCCCTCCTGCCCATGTCCTCCAATATTCTAGTGAGTCCATGGGTATCAATGTTTTTTTCTCCTAATCTCTTCTAAATCTGCCATTCTAAAAAAGGAACTAGACTTGGAGATTCGGTTTGGTCCAAATTGCAGTTCATCTGCAAATCAGTTTTGGGCAGACTAGATGGGCCAAATGGTTCTTATCTGCCATCTCATTTAATGTTTCTATGTTTTTATCTGAATTTGTTCCGATCCGGTGATTGGTCAAATTTGCTTACTCTGAGCAGACATATAAATAAATCATAAATCAACCGAAGTGCACGGTGGTCGAGCATGGTCATTTAGGGTCATGCCTCTGCACTGTGGCACCAGAAAAAGAGATGATGGATGGGGAAAAAAATATTGATTGACTGGAGATAGTCACTAAATATTGATTTTAGTTATAGATCAAGTGAGACAGAAAAAATAAGAAGCAGTAAAAAATTCTCCATTTAAGTATTATATATTTAATACATGTTTAATATATCAACATATTAATATACGTTTTTATGGGTGCTCTTCCTGTTTTCCCCTCTATTAATAACTTTTTCTTGCTTGATCTGTGAACTAAATCTAAGGAAAATGCACCAATCGGTGTTCTGCAAAATATATGTATATATTATGTATATATTTTGCAGTGCATTGATCAGAATTTCTGGTGTCCTGAAAATGTTTTGTTTTCCATAAAAACAGTTTGACCAAGCCGAATTTTCTCACTATGCACAAGTCTATAAAGGATCCTGTTACAGTTGCCTATAGACTTCCCTACTAGGTCATATATTTGTTTGACATCTAAATCACCACAAATTTTGGTGAACTGAAAATTAATTTTAAAATTTAAACTGAGTTGGAATTTAATTTTTTTTTTCAAATCAAGTTTTGTTGTTGCATATATTTTGCAATTTTGCTTTCAGTACTTGGTGTTTAGTGATTAAAATATCCTTCTTCGCCAGGTTTATCTATATGTAGATGATGAGAATATAAATGTTCACGTGATGTTTTATGAGTCAGAATTATATCAAATAGATTTTCCTGTATGGCCCATCATCAAATAAAACATACTAGGGCAAAAACTGAGTTTTACTGTTATATATGGCCCTACACGATTTTATACCAGCTCAATGTAAATATGGAGTCACCCATGTCTTCACATAAATGGCTTATACAATGACTCTTTACTTATCAATATTTCCAACATTTCCATTTCACAATTTCAACCATATTCTAATTTTACATGTACTATGTTTATGGAATGTACTGATCTTTTCCTCCATGGCTGCTTCTAAAACCATTTTCACTAGGTTAACCATAGGCATTGTCTTTCATATTTTCTTAAAAGGGAAATGTCACTCTCTAACAGTGAAAAAGAACAGCGAACATTTAGAAAATCCCAGAGAGTCCATCTATTTTTAATATTTTTTCTGAATTCTTATCTTGTGAAAAAATTAGTCGTTTTCAGAAAAACATTAAAAATACATGGCCTCTCTGGGTTTTATAACTGGTAACTGGTATTAATAAGATGTTCTCATTTTCTTTTAATTAATTAATTGATTAATTAATTAATGTATCTATTTATTTTTCATATTTATCTAATTATAATCCAGATCTCTTTTAGCTTAACAACTTTTGATTTCCTGTGCATTTAGTTATCTCTTTAGCTATATCAGTGCATTCTAGCTATCTCTTAAATGACCTGCTATTTAACATTCACAAGTTTCAACACTTTAAAAAGTCATTTCTGCATTAAAACAACATTTTGAAATGAAGAACTACATTATTAAACACAGTCATTTTACTTTGTATTTATCAAAAACTTCTGACTGTTCTTTTCATTTTTCCTAATTGTATTTATACAAAAATACATTTATTCCCAGACTGTAAGCTCTATAGTGCATATATCCCCAAAAGTAACAGATCCATATGTATGGCACCAGGAAACTTCCCAGTGGGCGCCCCAGCAGGTCGGCGCCCCAGACAAATGCCTTATTCGCCTTATGGTAGCGCCGACCCTGACTGCACCCCATATTATACAACTGGGTTCAATCCAGTCATTCATTGTAACATAACCTGTAAAATCTAAGTACATATGTGGCGGCTCTATAGCTAAGATGTACATATGTAGTGATAATGTACAATATTGATAGAATCAAACCATATCGGTGTTTACTCAATAAACCTGGAATGCAACAACTGGATTTTACAGTGGTTATTTCAAGAAAAATATCATATTTTATATTCACTTAAAATGTATGTTCAAATGTATGCCTAAACTCCCTGAGTGCAATATCCAAATTAAAGGTTTTAAACCTGAACAGTATTATTAACAATGGGCTACATTATTAAGCATGTATCAGTCATAGTTATTTACTAAAGTTAGAATTGCTGGACATGTAAAATTATCCAATCTGAAAGCAAAATTGACTTGGAGATTTTTTCTAATGTGGCTATTTTGACCTATATTTTAAAATTCAATATGAATTAATTTTGAACTCGCAGCAATTCTCACTATAGTGAATAACCCGTTCCGTGAATACCTACATATTTGTATTAAAATTTTTTGAATATTTTGAGTTGCACATCATTTCACAATTGTGCAAAATATTTGTTTGTACATAAAATAATAAACTGGTACATAAAAAGAAACTGATTTATACACCAATAGTTCAGTTCATTTCTTTTCTAAAAAGCTCATATGACATGAAAACAAATCTCACTTGGTACATTATTTACCATTATTATCATTATATTTACATAGCGCCAACAAATTCCATAGCGCTTTACAATGGGATCAAAGTTACTCACTACAGTAAGAGTTGTCAGAAATTCAAAATTAATTCTCAAACTGAATTTCCAATTTATAGCCAACATGGATAAATTTGAAATGTTCTCCATGTGAGTCATGCTTCCTGTTCTGCTACTTTGGCCTTCAATTTCATATTCAATTTGAATTGTTTGCGAATTCCTGACAATTCTCACTTTTATCAATAACCCGATATTTACTCAGCTTACTGAAAAGCAATTTTCTCCTAGACCTTAAATAAGAAATTGTTCTTCAGTAATCAAAGTAAAACTTTACTCTGAATCTAAACTAACAGTGTATTCATTAAGTTCATTGAATAAGTTACTGACTTCAAACTCAGAATGAGCGGTTGACGACTAGCGTGCACTCAGGCCTTGTTTGTGTGAAATTGCACAGTAAATGTCCTTTTTATTATGCAGTATTCAATTTTCCTGAGTTGAGTTTTTATTGGCTTTAATGTAGACACAAATTGAAGGCTAATACAGAAAAGTGTGTAACTTAATTAATATTTTGTTCTTAGACCTAAAGTATTTTTGTGCAATTTAACTTCTACCTCTTTTTGGGTGGAAAATGTTCAAAGTTCTATAGCTACCTTCCAAGTTTACCTCTCAAGTTAGCCCAGACTTTTTCTTAAATTAATTTATTTTTCCTATGACTACCCAAATGTGTGATTCACTTAATAATTAGAATTACAACTTCTCAGATTCCAATCATAAATCTTGGTTGAGGATGAAAATGAACAATATTTGGAGGAATGTGATTGAAAGCAGGAGGATGGATGTAGACAAATTGATTTCCAGTACTGTTAATAGTAACACAATATAACTGATAATAATGAAAGCATCTATTAAACATCCACACTTACGGACTGACATATTCTGAGACTTTGGCGGTTTGTTAAGTACTGTGTGCTGATTTTTAGCTATTCCGTGCCTGGCTTAACTTGTATACTTGTATACATCATGTATGCTCACTGTATAGATTACGTATGAAGTCAAGCAGAAAATGTATCAATGTCTTCCTTTAAACTTGAGCCTTCTTACTTTTTTATTGCAGTTTGTCAAAACATGCACTATCACCATCTCCTATTGTTATGATGTGTCTAACAGTTAAATACCACTGAAAAACAAATAAAAACATAATTATAATAATGACAATAATAATTACAAATGAAGATATTAAATGCAAAATGAACTGTTCCCATTATTATCTTGATTTTATATTAGCGAATAAAATGATCTAGAGTGAGTTTGTAGGTGGATGATGATATTACAAAAGGTGCATAACATAATTACATTTTTAGTGCACGAAGAAATTTATTCTGGGGGTGTCAGACAGATGTGCTAATTAGGTGTTAAAATTACCTGGGCGACTTTGGCAACAAATCTATGTAAAGCCAGACCTGTAAGCCTAACATATTACAGTGAAATAATTAATGCAGACCAGGAAGAATTAAACAGGAAAAAAAAAAACAGAAAACCCCCCCAAAAAATATATATGTTTTCTGCAACTTTTTTTTTTACATGCATAATACAAAACCAAATATCTGCAACTAATTTAACAACTAATTAATCCTATATTTAAATGATTGTTTTAAGCATTAACAAAATAATTTACACTGCAAAGTAGGCCCAAGTACTATTTTGGGGAAAATTTACTTGTTTTACCACATTTTGGAATTTTATTGCTTTCACTATATAGCAAATGTTCTCATTAGACAGTAAAATACATTAGCGTGCAAATAAAAATTACTTTTAAGATTCACAATGATATAGAAACATAATTACAAACAAAAAAACAATGTTTCAATTTGTAAATATCACAGGTAATTTAGATAAAATATGTTCTAACTAAATGAAAAAATATATTCTCTCTACACTCCTTTTTTAATATTATTTATGTGACAACGTTTAAATATATGTGAACCTATGAATTGTATATCATGAATTAATTAATTTTTAAATACTTTTAGTGTGTTGGTCATACCTTGTTATACAGACTATATAACCTATAACAAGCAAATAGTATATCCATCACAACACAAAAACAAGAAAAAAAATAAAACCAACAAAAAACATATAACAGAGAAGACACTGGAATAACTCAAAAGAATGGCTTGCGAAATATAATGAAAATAAGTGCATTGCCTCAGCTGCAAAGCTAGTGTAAAACTAAGACAAACAAGTACATTAAATTTACTCAAGGTGAAGTGTCAAAATGGAAGTAAAACTGCAATATACTTCAGGAATAAGTGGCACACAATATTTATTGATGTCTTAATAAAGTCACTTCACCCCATGGTTGAAAAATTATTGCTGCATTGAGATTGACACCTCAATGTTAAATTTCCAATCCCTTTTCTGGTAGCAACATACTATCAATTAATAGCATACTCAAAACAATTATCTGGATAAAATGTATATTGTGATCTAGTAATGTATAGGTGAATTGTATATTCTGTGTGGAACACCATTTGACCATTTGATGTACACACAATTTGCTTTAAGGGGACCAAGTTTAATTACATCTCTTATTTTATTTCATAAATCCAGTGCTAATTCCTAACAAGATTTTGAAAAACCGAAAGCTATGAAACCTGTAATACTTAATGGCAAAATATTGTGTGTATGTGTTTGTGTATGCATGTATGTATGTGTGTGTGTGTGTGTGTGTGTGTGTGTGTGTGTGTGTGTGTGTGTATATATATATATACATATATATATATTAATAAATATGTGTGTGTGTGTGTGTGTGTGTGTGTGTGTGTGTGTGTGTATGAATGTATATTATACTAATCAGAGAAACTGTCAAATACAAACATTGGTTTCCTGCAATATAAATATGAATTAAGGTACCCACTGATAAATATCACAAAAATGCCAAACATATGGTTGTGAAGCACATTATAAACACAGTTGTTCTGAGATAAAGAAAGAACCAGTAAGAAAGACTTAGAAGCTCCCTAATCCATCTATTCTTAATATGGAAGGAAATTTCATCTAAGAAGGTCATTGTTACAAGGATACTGTTATTGACATACCTTTGTGACTTGTTTTTAACTTTTTTTAAGTATGCAAATTATTTTAATTGCTGAATATTGAAATTCTTTGTGCTTCCTTGTCCAGACCACATCTGTGTAATATAGCTTTATAAAATAGCTTATTTTTAATCAGATTAAAACTTAGAAACCTACAATTTCAGTTCATTTATATTTTTTGTTTTAGACACTGAGGAATTGAAAATGAAAAAAAATGAGAAAGGTTTTTTTTTATAAGAATCCTCTATGTTACAGAAAACATTATTTATTTATTTACATCCTTTATGCTTTTGAATATAGTCTCTCTCTTCTGGAGAACCATAGAACACATTTCATCTCCGAACAAAAGCCCTGACTTTCAATACTTTTGGGAATATACCATCCAATGCCTCACACATCGCAGAAAGCAAACATACCACAGTCAGATGACTTTTACCACCTTTAAATCAGCTTCTGCACTTCCCCCTAGTGGTGAACCCATTTATGTGTGGTCTTACTGCTTAATGTATTGTCTGCTTACATTGATAATTTAGAGCCTAAGGTAAAAACATTAATGTCGCCAAAAATATGCTTAATACACCAGTTATGCCATTTCTTTAACATAATATGGTGTATAAGAATATCAAATATTTTATTTGAATTTAGTAAAATAAAAGAAAAGTGCTTTGAGGTGTAGTCTCACATATATTCCCCACAGTTACTGAAAAATTGAATATGAGCATCTGGTTACAGATGGTGAACTAAAAGAGAGGCAATAAGCATATGATAGGCAGTTGTCTCCAAAAATCTGCCTTCCCGTGTTATTCTCTCCCATACAGAAAATTCAACTTGGTATGGTCCATCTTTAACCTTCAGTGAAAGATTGTGGTCTCTGCATATGCCTTTCCCATATGACTAGTATTTTCATCTTGGTATCGTCCATCCCTAAACTTGATTGTTAATGGAAGTATATGCACTAATGCAAACACATTTCAAAGAAAAGACATTTAGAAGCTTTTACTTTGATTTACAGCGATATCATTTATCGTATTGGTCAACCTAATGTACATTTTCAGTACCCTGAAAGCAAATATCAAGAAATACATCAACAACACAAAACGAAATAGGTCAATTCCAATCGTGCAAAATTTGCTTCTGTGTATAAAGCACTTCTTGACACAGTCATGTCCAGAAATCCCCCAAAATTATACATTACTGAGACTGAAGCCATTCTTTTCTTAAGGCTATACAGACACTAAAGAAAGCATTGCGAGAACACTTATTCAGAATTATTATTATTAATTTTTGATATCTTTTTTTTTTTTGATCTTCTGTTTGTGTTTCTTGACATCACCTGTGTGGTCCGAGTATTTGTCTCAGAACAACAACAAAAAAAAGTCAATGATCCCAACAATAAATTCCGATATTGACTTTACAATCACGGGTACAAATTGCTCAGGTCGATAATTTCATTTATCCTAAAGATCACTGTCGTCTAAAACTAATTAGAGGCGCAGTTTTCCCAAGGAAATGTCGATATCAAAGAAAATATTTTACCTAGAAGATAATTCATTCTTCTACAGAGACACTCTGGGAGGGATGGTTGGAGAATAAAATCTTGTCCCACCAGGTTAATGGCTACATTGACAGCTGAATCCTTTTTGCTACTTCTCCAGAACTTGACCCCTCCATCTCCTCTTTATAGTGGAAAAACTAAAAAGCCAGAAAAGGTTGAATACTTCCACCCACCCATGAGGTTGCCCCTCTCCAGTCTTAGGTGGACTTTATCAGCTCTCTCCATGTGCAGAAGGACACCATTGCTGGCTGCTTCCCTTGTAACATCCTGATCTCCAGCAAAGGCTGAAATCACCGGGTAGTTATTTTGCATTAGACTTACCTGTAAGAGAAAGAAATGTTATAGAACTCATTATTAATGTACATCGTGAGTCGGTGTCTAAATTGAGATGTGGTTACAATTATATTTTGTACTCCACCAGGTTCTGTCGCAATGCCAGATTGAACATTATGACTGTATGAAGTGTCAATCAAGTTATAGTCTCATCTAATGATCTGATCCTTAGAAAAGAATTGCATTAATGGTATTTTTGTTCCAACTCACCTGGATAGTCTGTCTGTTGTACACTTTAACCACGTGGAAACTGAAACTGTATATCCCTTTTCTGGGGGCTACAAATGCACTGGATGCAAGGTCAAAGTGATTTCCAATGTTTACTAAGACCTAAAAAAAAAAAAAGAATAGACACATACATAAATATCAAGCACCTATTGTCTAAAAATGGATATCATGATGAATTAGCAGTACGTTTATTGGACGTACAAAAACAATTTTACTCAATGAAGTTTATAATGCTTAAATTGATTTAGTACTTATGTACAGTTAAGATTATTAACCGTATACAAGTTAGCTATTGATCAGCAGAGGTGGATTTGAGTGCAAGCTTTTAAGATAACGTATGGCTTTCTCTAACGGAAGCACTCTAATCGTGTTTAATGAGCTTCTAAAGCTACAAATTCACTGCAAAATTGGTAGAATACTTCTGCAATTGTTGAAATAAACGTTCTTCAAAAATTATGTAAATTAGTGTAAACTATATTTATTTTAAAAAAAAATGTTTTAACTGGTTGGGTGAAGAATGGGTTAAAACAAAAGACCAGATCATTTGAAATGTTTCCATCCTGCCTATTCACTAAGCGAATTTGGGTCATTTAAAAACCTGTAAGCAAAATTAAGAACATTTAGCTTAATTGGTGGGAAAAAAAATCTCCTATAGTTTAATAAAATGAGCTTTTTGTTAAGTTTCCTCAAACTGTGGTCGGATCTCATTCCACACAACTCGGAGTTTGATGAATAGATTCTAATAAAGTTTAAACATCGTGTTGGTAAATGAGGTGGAGATTTTAGGCAAAAAGTGCTTAATTGCACAACAATCTCAGTAAAGTTGATGTCTTGACTTAACTCTTAATTAGTCCACATTGTGCAAACGGGCTGACCAAACTTCAGTTTATTCAATAGACTCATGTTGTGTATGGTATGTGTGTGTCTCTGACAGAGTGGTGTGTGTGTATGTGTCTGTGTATGTGTCTGTGTATGTGTCTGTGTACACAATAAGGTTAATTTTGCTGTACACGTTTATACCTTATCTCTGTGAGGTTTCACTATACTGTACGTGTATTAAATGTTCTCTATATAATATGGATACTTAATTACCTAATTTTAATATCCCAAAAGTAATACAGAATCATTTATTGACCTTATTGAGAATCAACTTACAAAAAAAACAAAAAAACGGATTGTAAGAAAAAGGTTTCCGATTTAGAAGACTCGTTTTTCTTGTTCATTAAACTTTCATTTTCGATGTAAATATTGCAATTTTCTTCTCAAGTGTCTATGGTTTGCTGTTTAGTGAATTGGACGTTTTTGTATTTATTTACTAAACAGTGACATAAACACAGAATCGCAACATAAAGTCTAAAATAATCTAGCAGTGAATATTGCTGTTTTGGAGACATTTTGTTGTTTTATTTGTGTGTGTGTGTGTGTGTAAATGTTACAATTCTGATTTAAATGTATTACAATGTACTGTTTATTGTTCAAATTCCATTGTAAGAAGCATTTAAGGTTTTATCAAAATGTATGATCTGTATTAAATATGTATCCAGCAGTGAGAGGTTGCAAGCTTTTATCTGAAAAGAAATCCAGTCTTATAGTTTTGAAGCCTGAATATCATAGTCTCAAAGCATTTGTAGAGATCTGACAGCAGAGATCTGTCTGGATATGGCACAGCTCAACGTTAATTAATCTAAAACCGCAGGCTCCATATACCCAGGTTGTGTCATCATTAAGCCAATGACAATGAGTCAAAAATCCATCGGGGTTGAATTTTAGCACCTTCCTGCCGCTCTTTCATGCTATGATACATGCATATGGATTTTGTTGTCGCTTTCAATATTTAAGTCAATTCTTAGGAGTTTGTTCACATAACAGCAAGTGTGCAGATCCTGAGATGCCAGTTAAGCTAACATGTATCATGTATCAGTAAAACATTGGGTTAAACGTTTAGAATGATCAATAAGTATTCTGATGGATTGATGGTCGCATTCTCTTAATTATTGTTTTATTAAAAACCAGAAAGATACTAGAATGAGGGATGAGCTCATTAATACAATTGGGGAAAAGGAATCAATACATAATGCTACAATAAATCTCTTTGCTTTTTGTTTTATAGTTTAATATCAGAAAGTCCAGTAGATCTTGGCAAACATAAACTCGGACTCATTCACTCTGAAAGGGTTAAATCGCATATGTACCAGATGTTCAGCATCTGACATCATCTGCATGTGTGACTTTTTTTTACTTGCGCAAATCTATCTTTCCTCCCACACCACTCTAGGTATGAACCAAAATCATTTTAGATAACCTTCTCCAAAATCGCATATTGTTCTACTATCAGATTGCTGACAGGTTTGAAGTGAAGGGCTAGATACAGAATACATACAGATCTAGGGTGAAGTTACAACACCTTTTCCTAAGTGTGAATTGGGAGTCTAACTTATCATGAGTTCATGTCTCCCATGCACTTGACTTCTTACTCCGAGGCTTACTCCCAGTTAAGTAGACTTTTTCACAGCCACACACAGACACACAAAGCCACATACACAGCCAAACACACAGACACACGCACAGTCAAACGCACAGTTACAGACATAGAAGTCCAGTCACATATACAGCTAAAAACACACACAAAGCCACTCACACACAGCCGTACTCACACAATGCCAGCCACTTATACAGCCACAAAAACACATGCACACGCAAACACGCATACACTCACATGTCTACAGATATACAGACACACCAGTTGTTTGCTGGTCTGTTTCCAGATGTTCTACTAGGCACAGCGAGTTCGTGCACACAGGTAGCTCTGCATAAAGACTCTTATCATGGGTTTTCGTTCAACCACATAGAGAAATGTTATCATATACCTGATCGAAATAAATAGTCATGGTGCGATTGCTCATCTCAGAGGGTTCGTGGTTGGTGCTCCTAATAGCTGAGAATGCCACTTTGGCACTTCCAGAGCGCACTGAGATACCCAGGGATGAGGTGATGGCTCCATCCGAGGAAGGATTGGAATCACAAACCACCAGGCACTTTCCTTCCAGTACGATAGGCTCCGTGTCATTCTGAGCACTCACTCTAGGTGGCGCACACATCAGCATCACGGACAACACCACTTTAGCAAGTCGCAGGAAGCCCCAGCACTGTTCCCATTTGAGAATCCTCGGTGCTGCCCTGGTTCTGTCTCTTGTACCATTCTTCCCTAGACGCATCCTGCTACAGCAATCAGGAATCAGAGTGGGGGGGCAGCCCTGATTCCAGCAGATGGACTCGCACAGGCTTTTCCTTAATAGCTTTCTGAAGACTTCTACCTGGAGAAGACTCTTCAGTTTTCTTGTTGACTTGAACCTTAAAAGAAAATAACTCCATGGTGTAAGAATTATTGTAATCAAAGTATGGAAGTAACTTAAAGACATGCTAGCCAATGCCCATTTACAACAGAACACTTAATGAGTGAATTTCATTCCGATTAACTGCCTCTTCAATAATCTGTTTTATTACATTCTAGTTCAGTCTGCCTGCTCACTCAATACTAAAATAGCTTCATTCTATCGGATGAGGAAATATTCCACAGATATTTCTTGCAATGTCCCAGTCACAAGATTTGCTCGACCATATGGCACTGATAGAGGTTTACAGTCAGTAGAAGATAAACATATAACTGCAATGTTTCCACATGTAAACAAATACTGTGTCTAACACATTCAACTATGTATCTATCTGTCAGCTAATACTTCCAGCATTACATGACCCACATCTAAGAATAAACCCCGGCGATAAGACGTATGAAAGACATATTCTGTATTTAAGACATGCAGCACGTTTTCTAAAGTTCCCTAAAACCTTTCATTTCTAAACTTCACTCAAGGCCATTTACGGTGTCTTAGATCGGCTGCCTGTTATAATTATTATGCGGACAATTAATAAATCAACACAACACCTTAAAAAAAATAATAATAATAAAAAAAAAAAAAACAACCAATTCTCTCTTCAATCTCTAACCTGAATCCCTGCAACAAATCTTCATGTAAAGTTAATAATAACAGAAGCCCTTTGATGAACTTCCTGGTCAGGAATTGCCAACATGTCACTGTCCCCGATGTAAGGGTACCATTCCCCTTAAAGAGACCAACAATACATCATGTATACAAGTGAAATAGATAGTTACCTGGAAGGTCCATCGTGTGAGAATACAAAGATGCTGGTTTCTCAGTACCCTGTGAAGTTGTATTGCTTAGACAAAACGAGCAGAGATTGTGCTGGCAAAACACAGTAGCACAGGAGTCGCCTAATTCTCTCCCGCCCATTGCCAATATCCTCTATCTCCCTCCTCTCTCTCTTTCCCCTCTCCCTCTTTCTCTCTCCCTCTCTCTCTCTTTCTCTCCCTCTTTCTCTCTATCTAGTTCTTCATTTATCTTCCTTCTTCGCTTTTTCTACCTTGCCTCTTTTTTTTTTATCCCTCCCATGACTTATCTTACATTTCGGTCTTTGTCTCTCCCCATTTCAAGGTCTCTCAAGCACTCTCTGTCTCACTCTCCCTGTCATCATTTGTAAAATGGTGACCATAGACTCTAAGGAAATCCCCTTTAATAGACTGCAGGAATAGTAATTTAAAGGCTTAACCCTTAGAGTACCAAACTCATCTGCAGCACATTGAAGAACCCTCTGCCATGGTTTAATGCTGTTTTCACATGATCAGCAGGTACACATCACTTTCATAAACAAAGGTAGCATTGCATTACTGTAACTTGATGCCTTTTGTATTTTTGTTTTACTTTAGTACCTCTAACTAATTAATTGAAAAGACTTGGACTTTGGAGCTATGTTATCAGTTTTAACATTCTTCAGAATTCATTTTTGGCAAGGGATATTAAAGGCTTGGAAAGGACTGCACTAGCGAACTCACACGAGCACCATCCTTCATTGTTCGCCTTGGCAAATGACTTATTTATCAGGACTATTGTACCTTCTGTTACATTCCCAATTAAACTCATGTTAGGATTAGAAGCACACAGGGATGGTTCAATGATAGGCTAGTGGCGCCATCTAGTGAGACTAATCTTAATGTCGAATTTAACCTTTCTTTATTCTTGTATGGAAAGGACCAAACTGTTATAATCCCTAATTAAGCATTTCCCTGGAGCGAAGAGGCTACTGCATCTGCAGACCTGTATTGCTTAACAGAGACAAAAGTGGCATGATGATTCATGTGGCCGTCACTGTTATTTTCAGTTATTAATGTGCATGTGTTTTACCTACCACAGCGTGTTGTAATAAAGGCCATGTTTAATTGGGTTAAATGGTTAAATTATTTCTCTAGTATTGCATATAATGTGCTTTCATTAGTGTGCCTATGTGTGTATGAATATAAAATAGAATGCCCTAGAATAGATGTCCTCTTGCTATCACACAATAACTTTAAAATATATATTTTTATTGAATTAAATTTACTTATTAAAATTATGATTTTCTTGCATAATTCTTTTATTCCCTTACTGTCGATCCTTTGAAGAATATCATCTACTACTACTCAAATGAAATTATCTGAAAAATGTACACGCTAGTTGTTACCTGCAGATTTTTAAGGGCTAAATAATTTTAGAAGAAGGCCTATCCTGTGTACACCCTTCTCTATTTCCCTCTATTTCTTTTTGTTTTCAATTGTATTTCTGTTGTCGGTTGCCAGAGGAGCTATAAATACTGCTAATGTAATATATTGCTCAATTTTTTGGCACTGATAAGGTTAATCATTATGTATGTAACATTTCCCGAATCTCTGTGTGTTAATAGAAGCACAAGGGGTTTTTGTCAGCATTGCATTTCTCACATCATGTCAAGAACAATGAAAGGATTGGTGGACATGAACACTGTGCTTCTAATTTTACTTTTATACATTTTTCATTTTATTGTCTGCTGATGCTAACATAAGGGTAAAATTTGTCTCTGAACTTGACAATACAGAATACCCTGGCATACATATGTATATTTTCTTCACTGATCACATTTCTGTCTCAAATGGGACAGTATGATAAAGAACACATTGGAAACATTTACAATAAATCTGATAAACTTATGCATAGCTGGATGAGATGTCAGTCTGGTAACATTCCAGAATGTACCTGTATGATGATATTTCAAAGGCCTCTTGACGATTGGTTATCATGGAAACATCCTATAAGAATCCCTTGGGGATTTTTGATGTGATCACATAGACATGTTTCATGGATGAGTAAAGTCTAACTCGGCATCAATTTGCATGGATTAATGGTTTCCAAAGAAAACATTGTGCAGATGTATCAATTCACCTCCCCAACAAACTGGAATCAAACAATTCTATTCCATGGTGTATTTTTATATAAGGTGAATGCAGATCTTTTGTTCCTATTGTGAGTAATAACCCTCTTCTTGGACGTTTGTTAATATAGAAGGGTACTTATTATACAAATACCATGGGGCTTTCTCGTTTCTCATACACCAAAGCAAATGTCAGCTAAAACTATTATGTACTTAATAAAGCTGTTCTAGATCAAGGGAAGCAGCTTAGTTGCATTTATCCTGATATAAACAAGAAAACATTATTTTAAGATTTTGCGCAAATCCTTAACCTGAGAATAAGTTTAATATTTTTTTCTTCTCTATTCTATATCGAATATTGCTTATATTTTCATTGATTGGCATCATAACAGGATATTCATCCTTGTACGAGGTTTCTTAACTAATTACTGCCAGGAAGGCCTTGCTGTAGCATTATTGATTGTGTTCATCTTGTTTTTCCATGCATAAGTGCATTTACGAACCAGATACAAATGATATATGGAATGATATTGTACTGTACAATAAAGGGAGGTACTTATTATGGCTCAATCTTCTGCTATGCATTGTTGCTATACATTTGCTTTGCATTTTTGTGCAAAGCAGATAGTTGGTTTCTTATTAAAGTTTTATTGATAGATAACTTCAAAACAAAAGAAAAAAATAATTAAATATGTATGTTAAAGACTTAAGATATTTCATTTTGAATAACTAGTTTCAAATGATGCACAGACACAGATAAACTTTAATATAATGTACAACTGAATTATTTGTATTTTTGTGCCTTTGTTTTCTCTCTAAGTAATTGCTTTTGTTGATTGTTGTTTAAACAATCCAGCAGTGTGAAAGTTAAGAGTTAAGAACTATGTGCCATCTGCTTCGAAATAAAGGTTGTGGGTCTTATAGTGATTACTTTTTCCAATACCTCAACACTGAAAAACGTACATAAAACTATTTACTGGCAACAGTGTTGTATCTAATTACAGGTGTAAAGGAGACAAAATATTAACAATTCATTTTATTAAAGTTACATTGTATCTATGGATAATGGAAAACATAATAGCTATCTCAAATTACCATGTTTCTGCCTATATTCATATATCAATGTATTTTTAAATTAGAATATTTCGTACAATCATAGTCACTATTTTGGTATTGTGACCACCAATTTTTAAAGCTGGTTTGTAATTAAGTAATTCACTAATAGCTGAGTGAGGACAGGAGAAACAATTACAGACAAGCTGACTTGAACAATAGACTAAACCATCTTGAACTGACCCTAAATGCACTATTCATGCTGATTGGATGTAAAGTGGCGCTCCACTGCTCCTTGACAAATTACTTCACAATGTTGACTGTCAAGGAGCGGACAATCACATTTAAGAGACCTGAGAAAAAAACGATAAGCCTCTATTGGCACCATGAAGCAGTAAACAAGCAAGCACTAAAAACTAATGCAAGTTAAAAAGTAAACTAAATACTGCCTGTGGTCTGTCTGTCTGTCTATCTATCATTGCCAAAGCCAAAGTTTTGGTAATGAGGTCTTTTGGTATGTCCTGTTATTATGTTTTAACTATTGTTCAGGGCTTTTAAAGAGTTTTTATGTCTGGTTTAGTTAACAATTTCATAGCACTGTTGACGCTGATTGTTTTCTAAACAGTTTTAATTTACTACTTAATATTTAATTAGCATTAGTAATGCAGTTTGGGTGAGTTCAAGTCTACTAAATTTCAAATGGATATTTATTTTAATATGTATTTTTAGTTGATAGCTCAGGAATTAGTCAATATGAAACTGTCATCTATAGCTTATTTTTCCAACTGACTTTCTTTGAAGGGACACTCTAAGCACCAAAACAACTTTTTTAATTAAGTAGTTTTGGTGCGTAGAGTATGCCCATGCAGATCACTGCTCGATTATCTGCCATTTAGGAGCTAAATTATTTTGTTTATGCAGACATAAAACATCCCCTGACTGTGACCACACTAACACAAAAAAGTATAAATTATTTAAATTGCCTTATTACATGACATGTTTAATTTAGAAGTTATTACTTCAGAGCAGGCGATAAACACTTCTAAAGTAAACCCACTGTGCTGTAAGATCTGACATAAAATTAAACCTTTTCTTCATAGAGACTGTGTGCGTCACAGCCAGGGAAGGTGTGCCTATGCTTGCATAAACAAAGTGATTTAACTCTTAGATAGCAGAGAAGTGAGACTTCAATTGCATGATCTGTACACAATGTCTGCTTCACTGAGCTAATCTTGTGTTGGTGCTTAGAATTTCCCTTTAAAAGCTCAATTGATTAGTGTTTGGGTTTTTTTTTGTGAGTAGAACCCACAATTAAATGGCTCTAAAGATTAATGAAAAAAACAACATAGATCTAAAAAAAAAAAAAAAAAAACAGAGTAAAAAAATAAGTCTTGAATACTGTTAGCTTGATATCTAACCTAAAACACCTTTATCAATATGATAAAGATATCAGGCTTAAGTGTGAAATGTCATGAATTCAGAATGAATTTCACATTTTAGACCAAAATAGATACATTGACAGCCTGTTTGTTTTCAATTCAGTTATTTTGGCCTTACATTTCATATTCACTTTGAATTTTTGTAATTTGACACTTTGGTGAATAACCATTGTGACTGAAGAAAAGCCAAGCCTCAGGATCACTGGTTGGTTAGTGTCATCTATCTATACCGTACCAACTGTACACTGTAAATGAAAAAAAGCAACAGGGATGGTTTACAATAAGAGCATTTATATAAGGTAATAAAGCAGAGGTAAACAAAATATAAAACGCAAACCAAAGTCGATTTACCAATAAACCATGCTAATATAACAATATTTTACAGTGATTTGCATAAACGGCATGATGCTATGTGTCAATCCTTGATTTAATGCACTAAAAAGCATGATTAATTTTTTTTTTAATTGAACAAACCTGAGTAAGAGCTTTAAAGAGACAGCCTTATCTCCCATCGATGCACATTTGTCGTTTGATCTCTTACTGATGTTATTCTTGCTTATTTTGTATTTTGGCTACCTTTTCTGCTGTCCTAGTGTATTTCCATTCTCTGTATACAGAACAACATATGGGAATGCTAATCCTATTAAGGACACAAATGGAAATAATATTGTACTAGACCAGTGTAATGATACACTGATACACTATTATTTCCTTATATTATTCTTACTACATTATAATTTTATTTTGTGTTATT